TTGAGGACTAAGGTGCGCCTGACCCAAGCCATGGTATTTTCAATAACCTCATATGGATGCGAAAGCTGGACAGTGAATAAGGAAGACCATAGAAGTACTGATGTCTTTGAATTGTGGTGTTGGAGGAGAATACTAAAAGTGCCATGGGCTACCAAAAGAAACAATAGATCTGTTATGGAAGAAGTGTAGCCAGAGTGCTCCTTGGAGGCCAAGACGGCTAAACTTTGTCTCTCATATTTTGGACATATTGTCAGGAGGGAACAGTCGCTAGAGAAGGATATCATGCTTGGTAAGATGGAGGGTCCGAGAAAAAGAGGAAGACCCCCAACGAGATGGATCGGCCAGGTGGCATCATTGATGGATTCAAGTGTAGTGACAACAACAACGTAAGACAGAATAGAACTGCCCCATAGGGTTTCCAAGGCTGTATTCCAGAAGCAGACTGCCACATTTTTCTCCCATGGAGCAACTGGTGGGTTCAAACCACCAACTTTTCAGTTAGCAGGCAAGCAGTTAACCTCTGCACCACCAGGGCGCCTTGTTCTTGTTGTTGTTAGCAGTCCAGCGCATTAACCCACAAAACTCTGGTTAATGGCTTTGTTGTTGTTAGGTGCCATTGAGTCGGTATCAACTCATTGCAACTTTATGCACAGCAGAATGAAACATTGCCCGATCCTGGGCCAACCTCACTATTGTTGCCACACTTGAGTCCATCGATGATGCTACTTGGCCAGTCCATCTTGTTGGGGGTCTTCCTCTTTTTCTCTGACCCTCCACCTTCCCAAACATGATATCCTTCTCCAGTGACTGGTCCCTCCTGACAATATGTCCGAAGTATGAGAGATGAAGTTTGGCCATCCTGGCCTCGAAGGAGCACTCTGGCTGCACTTCTTCCAACACAGATCTGTTGGGTTTTTGGCAGCCCATGGTCCTTTCAATATTCTACTCCAACACAGTAACTCAACAGCCTCAATTCTTCTACAGTCTTCCTTATTTACTGTCTAGCTTTCACATGCATATGAGGTTATTGAAAATACCATGGCTTGTGTCAGGCACACCTTAGTCCTCAAGCTAACATCTTAGCTCTTCAACATTTTAAAAAGGTCTTGTGCAGCAGATTTGCCTAATGCAATATATCATTTGATTTCTTGACTGCTGCTTCCATGAGCGTTGATAGTTGATCCAAGAAGAATGAAGTCATTCACAACTTCAATCTTTTCTCCATTGATAAGAATGTTGTTTATTGGTCCAGGGGTGAGGATTTTTGTTTTCTTTACATTGAGATGTAATCCATACCGAAGGCTGTGCTCTTTGATCTTTATCAGTAAATGTTTTAAGTCCTCTTCACTTTCAGCAAGCAAGGTTGTATCATCTGCATATTGCAGGTTGTTAATGAGTCTTCCTCCAA